AGGATGATGAGGGAGTCAGGGAAAATGCCTCTAAGCAGCCAGTGCCAAATCTCACCCACCTCCACCTCCCAGTTGGCGGCTCAGAAAGATTTATGGTGCTGCACACACAGGTCATTCTTGAGATAAAGGTCATAGATCTTGCTGCTGACAGGCCTCCTCAATCAGTGCTTCAGGAAAACATCCATGGCTGATAAATGAGCTGTCCCTAAAGCCTCAGCGACAGGCTCCTAAAGGTCTCCATTGTTTAGAATGTCTCATTCATCCTGCAAGAGGGACGTCCATCCTTGATGCCAACACTGCAAGGAAGGTGGCTGTGTGAGGCTTTGAGAGGAAGCCTTTTCCACCCAGGTCTGTCCCAGAGCCCTCACTCGGTAACCCTTTAGCGGACGCCAAGCTCGAAGGGAGCATCATTAGCCCTCATTGACAAGGGGCCCTGTATATGGTCCATGTCCAGCCAAAATAACTGCAGGAGCAGATGCTAGACTATGGACCAAAAGGATGTGGACGTTGGATCCAAGAGGGCAAAGTCCAAACCGACTGGTAGAGAGGGAGCTGCGTGGAACTCAGGAGGCTAAAAGGACCTTTGACTGTAGCCCATGCCTATCCTCCCCTTCTTTCTCCCAGCTGGAAGCCTGAGTTTGTTTGGAGCAGCAATGTGCCCACTTAAAGGTATTCACCTCTCCTGGCTCCCTTGCAGCTGGGGGACCTGCAAGGAATTCTATTAGGGATTTCTGGAAAAGTTTTACATTGCTCTTACAGGCACTGCTCCTGCTACCTCCCTCTCGTTTTTCACACCTTTTGCAGATGTGAAAACAGCTGGGGAGTCTCTATTATGCAACATGCTAAGGATGGAGGAGCAGAAAGGACAGAAGGGCCTCGGATCCCAATGACATCATGGAATTGCTGTGCCAGCCCTGGCATGTCTACCTCCGGCTTGTGGTTACGTGGGCAAAAAAGTACACTCTTCGGTTAAATGACTGTTGTCATTTTGCTGTCACATGAAGCCCAAAACAACCCTGGGTGATAAAATCCAAGCTCTTACTGACTCTCGGAACTTGAGTGCGTTGCTTCACCTGTTTCTAGCCTCGGTTTTCCCCACTGTACAAACGGAATGATGAAAGAAATGACGGCTACCACTAGCACATTACCCTCTCTGGGAGGGGACCATGCCGTATTTGCACGCACCACACACTGCACTGTATACAATAGGTAGCAACATACTGCCCCAAATAACACCTGCCTCGGCTACCTCATTGGGCTTTTTTGAGCAACAAATGAGCCTGTGTTTGAAATTCCTCAGGAATAGCATTGCACAAGTGCCTACTAAGTCCCACATTCTCTGGAGTCACGAGGTTGAAGCCAGGAAGATGTTCCACTCCTACAGCAGGAAGTAAACTCATGACACAAGCCCCCATCCTCGTCCAGAGGAAAGGAGGAAACAAAAATGACTGAAACACAGTTGTGGGAAATAGAAAGAAGCCACGTGGCTTCCGGGTAAAACAGGCCCCGTCTGCACTGCTTCCCTGAGGGATCGCCTTCAGAAGTTAAGACCTGGGCATAGCCCCAGCCCAGACAAGACCCTGGGCGGAGAGCACATCTCCTTCCTGGTGTGTCTTCTCTCTGCTCACACTCCCGGCTTGTGGTGACCTGCATGTGGTCAGGATGTTCTCTGCTCTGTCACTATGGGAGACTAGGGTTCTCATTCTAGAGGCTGCTGTGCCAGGCCCAGCCTCTCCCGGGGCCTCAAGCAGCTGCCTTCTCTGTTTCAGGGCCTTCTCATAAGCTGGGCTTCTACATAAGCTCTCAAAACTAGCGTTATGGTCTGCATTCTACATTTGAAGGCACTGATGCTGAGGTGAAGAGACTGGTTCAAAGCCACACAACCACGTGACAAAAGTCAGATTTGAACCCCTGTCCCCCAACTTGGAAGCTTCTAATTTGAAGCTCTAGGCTGACCTGTCTTCTGCCACTTTAAGAAATGATGCTGGCTCTGTCTGTCTCCCTTTTGGTCTCTGCCTCTGTATTTCTCTCTGAGTGGTATCTCGTCTGGTTGTGTGTATCTGTGTGTGTGTGTGTGTGTGTGTGTGTGTGTGTGTGTGTGTGTGTGTGTGTGTGTGTGTGTGTGTGTGTGTGTCTTGCTCATTGTGTTTCTGTCTCCCCTTGTTTCTGTTTCTGTGTGTCAGTCTCTTTCTCTTGGTCTCTGACGCTCTTGTTTTGTGTGAACCTCACACCATTTCCCCAGGTCTCTGTGAGTTTGCCCCTCTCTCTCTGGGTGTGTGTTTCTCACCAGCCCCCACCCACTGCCCCCCACCAGCACACCATACTGTACCTGCTGTTCACCAACTGTGTCCCCTATGAAACTCCAACCTCCAAGTCCACAGGGACCATCTGCTTCGTTGGCAGCTGCATTTCAAGTATCACAATGTGCCGTGTAGATGCTGAAGGTATTTTTGTTGAATGAATAACTGAGTGTATGTTGCACACACTGTGAAGGGAGAAGGAAAGATCTCCGACACTGGCAAAGACAGCAGCAAGGTCTTTCTCAGAGGAACTTTATCAGTCCTCACAGAGCTCACAATTAACAGGGTTCGCCAAATCGACTTTATCATGCGTGTTTATTGGCAGGGCCCGGTGGCCCAAGAGCTTAAAACCATGTGTGGCATGGTTGTCCAGAACTGCTTCCACGGAAGATGTGGGTTCAGATCCCAGATCCCCACTGTTGCTTGGCCTCTCTGAGCCTCATCTCCTCACTAGTCAGGTGGGAGCAAGAATAGGATCCTGCAAGTAGAGTCCTGTTTACAGGTGAGGAACTGAGTCCCAGAGAGGCCCAGAGGGGTTCCCTGCGGGCCACTCAGCTGTGAACAAGGCCTCCTCCCATCCGAGGCCAGTGGGGGACTTGGACACCTGAGGAGTTGGGGCCTCCATCCACCTGGGAGTTTGAAGCACCTTTGAAGGTGTCCAGAGACACTGGACGGGAGTCTCTGGAAGCCCAGGCCTGCCGCGACAGTACTGCCTCTCCTCTGTTCCACCACAGAAAGGGTGATGGCTCTCAAGCCTGCAGTCACTGCCTTTCCTCGGCTCCTGAACAACCTTGGGTGCAGGCAGACATGGGCCTTGGAGCCTCCACTGGACTCACGGGGAACCCAACCCTGCCACAGGTGCTCAGGCCTTTCTACAGCTCCAAGCCCAGGACTCCCTGTCTGCAAACACAAGGGCTGGACGGGATGATGTCTGAGGTCTGAGCCAGGTGTCCCTTTCTATGGGCCCTGACATGGAACATTGTGGGCAAAGCTGCCTGGGCAGAAGTGACCAGTGGGGAATGCAGACCCCTTGGTGAAAATCACATGAGGCAGACAGAAACAACAGCTCTCGTACTGAAATAAACGAACTAGGTCGGGTCAAAACACCCTAGTTGTAAACTGTAGAATAAGCTGATAGAAAAACTACCAAACATGATTTCCCTCTGGAACTTTTCCTAGGTAAGGGGAAACCAGGCCAAAGGGTCAAGGGGATGGAAAGATGTGTGTGCTCAGACAAGCACTCATTCGCTTATCTAAGTTCCTCCTCAAGGTCCTCTCAGCGGTGGTGACAAGGCCCAGAGTGGGTAGGCCCGTGGCAGGGTGGTGGCAGAAAGGATCTCCAGCCTGGCTCTGGGCTCTGCCCCACTGCCTGCCCTGGAAGGCCAGACACTGGTGACTTCCCTGCTCTAGAATGCACCCATAAATTACCACAGGAGATGCCACCACTCAGCAGGCAGCCTCGGCAGGAGGATGGGGACTGCATCTCTTCTCAAGGTTCTGTGTGACCTTGGGCCTGTTATTAACCCCTGCGATCCTGTGAAGCGGGCATCCTCTGCTTCAATGAGGTGTGTGGGTGTTAACGAATTAAAGTGCTCAGCACGGGGCTGGGCACACGGTAAATGCAAAATAAATGCCACCCACTATGATTACAGGAACAACTTTTACTTAAACCCTCTTCTCAGGCTGATTCTCAAACCCAGTTTTGGGTCAAAAGAGCCAGTGGTTTCCAACTGGGTCTGTGCCACTGCTCATTTATCACACACCCTCAGATAAATGGATTCACCTCTGGGCCTCCTGGGCCCCAGGATGTATGCAATCAAGAGTGGATACTGCTACTATCATCACAGTAACAAGTATGATTATTTACCATCAGTGTAAGATTGGGGCATCGTTGGTCCACCTGGAGTGAAACTTGGGCTTGAGTATTTCTCTTGAGCAAGATGGTACTTCCTGGGGACCCCTGGGGCCTCCCTCTCCTTGGCACTTCTCAGCACACCCTCCTCCCCTCATCACCTCCTCACGGCTGGAGTGACAGAAGACTAAGATACAGACTCAGGAGTGTGACCAGTATCCTGCAGCATGGCTACCACAGCAAGCTGTGCAACTCTGCATCTCACGTCTTCATCTGGAAAACCAAGATAAATAAGAGTAATTCAGAAGACCGTGACGAGGGTTAAATGTGTTGCTATAAGCACAGCACCTAGAAAAGTGCTTGGCACATAGTAAATACTCAGTAAATGTTAGCTATTATTACTCTTTTGTATGTGTTGATATTTTGTAAAATAACATATTTCATAAATAGTTGTATATATTTAACAAAATATAATTAATTTTTGCATATTTAATGATAAAAATGGAACATAATACCTACAAAATCTCTAGGTCTTGTAATGAACTTTTACAAATCTATGTTTATTTATAGCCAAATCTCTACCTCCTCCTCCCACGCCTGGGACCATCACAGCCACCTCACGATGATCAGTTGTCCACACAACCAGACAACCACTGGAGGGACTGGCCTCTCTGGGCCTCACTGAAGGCCCTTGTGGGTCTGGGACTGTGCCAGAGAACAGAGGCCAAAGGAACCCAGACCCTGTGTAGCAGCTCATGTTTTAATCTGAAGACACACAGGAGTAAGTCTGTCCTTTTCATGTCTGAGGCACAATAGAGAGGCTGGACTATAGAAAGGAAATACTAAGAGAGGTTCTCACAGTTTAGCTTTTATTAAAATTAAAGGAACATAAAGTATGGAAAACAAGAACATGGTTCCTATTAAAACAATACATTTGAGGAACTGTTTCTTCAGCTAACGCTATGACTGATGGAGCAAGCGACGAGTGTTCTTTACCAAGCTCTACGGCCCCTACCATTCAAGCAGAGAACATCAGACCACGGACCTGACTGAGGGTGGCATACAGGGTGCCAGGGATCCAGTCGGCCTGCCTCGGGACAGCCACACAGACACGGCACTCACACAGACATACACATTCAGGGTCTTGAATTTTCTTTCAAAGAAAGTATTTTACACATCATATATGAATTAAACAAGAAGTCCAACAAGCATCCTTATTGCCACTGAAGAGGTGGGAGAGGGGATAATTTGAAATCGCATGACTAAAAGCAAGAACACAGCACTTGGCAATTTGTTTCTCCCAATGCCACAGTCCCGTGCATTACTGCCATGGCTGACGCCGTATCCACAAGTCACCGAGCCCCATGACAAAGGCTGCAAGGGGCTGCATGGTTGTGATCATCCACCATGGAAAAGGCCTCGGATGCTCCCAAATGTCAGAAGTGCTGCCAGCTCTCCTGTTTGGTCAGTAGATACGCAGCACAGCTGAACATGAGGAACTTCGGACTCTATTAAATAGTGCAAACACTTAAAAACAATACATTCCAACCTCCTCGCTTCCCCTGGCAAACAGAAAAACTCCAGCTAAACTGGAATCTGAATTTGCTCAGCCTCCCAACTTGATCCTTCAGGGTGCCAGTGGGAAGTGTGGAGGCAATCCAAATGGCACCTGTCCCAATAATAATAAAAATAAAGATTTTTTTGAAATGAGACTAAATGTCATATATATATATATATATACACACACACACACACACAAAAGAGAGCCTGGAGTGTTGACACAGCTCAAGAAACAAGTGCTAAGTGGAGTATTAGCTTTTGCAAAGCACATGCTTAATACATTCTTAGCAGGGATCACGAGGAAGGACCCCTCTTTTAAAGTTCACAGAGAAGATGCTTCCAAAAGAGACATCATCCAGCAGCAAAAGCCTTAAGTTGTTGGAAGCTTCAGAAGAACAAGGAGACAGAAAAGAATGAAGACTGGTTAGCTGGACGCAGGAAACTCCTGGGAGTACGTGCTGGAGGGTAGGCCTTTCCCTAGGCTTCTCCATGTCACGGCATGCCAGGCTCCAGGCCAGGCCATGAGAGCTGACAGGAGAGGGGACAACCAGATGCACCCTTGCCTCACCCCTGCTGAAATGGGCTCCAAAAACAGCAGACGGGTATCACTGATGGGTAAGTGCTGAGAGAGGCTTTACGTCAGTCCCTAAACAATTCAAGAAACACCAGTGACTGTGTTTTTCAGTAGTCTCCCTTGCATGTGGTGTAAGAAAGAAGACTCCAAGTCAAAGAGACTCATCTACCTGGAGCTACTGAGAAATCAGTTTTGGAGAGGGTGAGAAACAAAGGGAAGATAGCCACGGGCCCAAACTATGTGTGAGAGTGAATGACGTGTAGAACATAAGATCTCATTATCATGGACAATAAAAAGCAATTCAAATACCCCGAAAAATTATCTTATAAAAATATCTACATTAAAACTTTAGCCTGAAAGCTACAGCTTCAGTTTTATAAAAAGGCAATCTTTGAAAGGATCTGGCTCAGGAATATACAAACATTACACAACAGATATCAAAATAAGACAGCTCAAAAAAGCCTCTTAGGGGATATTGCAACTGGTTTGTCATGAAGAGAATTAAGTATTCTTATTGCATAGCAGAAAATGAGGTCACTGTCATTTGCATAATACTGCAACTTTTTTGATGGAGAGATGCCATTGGGTACGTATGAGAAGTAACTTTGGAATTCAGAGTCTGACTTCTCTGTTGTCCAAATCAGTATACAAGTGGCGTCTAAGTTGCTTCTAACCTTGGGCCACAATTCTGTTTCATCACTGTGATCAGATTTCAGATACACCACTGCCAAAGCTGCATTCACAAGCAGCTATGGCCACCAGAACGCAGGGGGTGGGGTGGGGAAGTGTTCACCTACCACGTGACCAGCACAGACTTGAAAATCAGTCTGTTGTGCTCACTGTGGAGAGAGAATCGTACCTGGTGATAAAGAAACATCAGGTTTAGGATGGCATCTGTGGGCAGCTAGAGCAGATTGGCGTTTTGGTGATGACGTACCAGTGTTCTAGTCCCCATGGGAAAGGACACACGAGGATGAAATGAACATGGCCTCAGCAGCACTACCGGGGGAGCAGCGCTTCCTGGGAAGGGAGACGTGAGGTGGGACCAATAGCAAAAATCCAAAAGCAGAAAACATGGCTGGCTGGCTCTCAGGAAGAGGGCGCTTTCTGGGACAATGACACACAAACAGTAGAGCCCCCACATAAGCATGAAAGCTCAGTTTCTAGGTGTTGGGGGCTCCACCTTTCATCTGAAATCAGGAGCTGTGCAACGGCACACGTCAGACCCCAACCCCCAACCTCACCCACCAATACACACACACACACACACACACACACACACACACACACAGAGCCCAAAACAAAGTCCTAAACCTTCCTTGGAAAGGAAGAAGGACATCTGGAAGAAAAAGGGCATTCCATCAGCTTCCGATCCGGAGCCAGGCAGAGCTCTGAAACCATGGCCATCTCCATGCCAGGGTGAGCAGTGTGCCCAATGGACAGCATGTCTCGATCCCTACGGAGCTGTTCTTCCAGGTCCAGCAAAACTGGCATTTTAGCTTCCTCCAAGTTTACTAAAAATGCTGGGTGCCCTGGTGTTCTCCAAATGTCTTGCTGAAATAACATCTGCTCAATATCAGAAGACGCTTCCTCTTCAGGAGAGTGGAGTGTTTAGTGCACAATAAATATACAGTAAATACACAAAGTGGCCAATTTCCTGAGGAGCCCTGGGTTTCTAACTTCAGGGTGAGGTCGGGAGAAAGCCAGTCTCCTGCAAAATCTGCTTGGAGGTAGCCCAGCTGTACCAGAAGTCCAACATCTGAGTTCATGAAGCCCCTGGGCTCCCTAAAGGTGGACCTTGACCTCAGGGAAGGCTAAATCCCAGCCCTTGAGATGTGAAACTGTTCCCCAGACACAAGGCCTCCCCTCCTTATGCTGTAAATCCCAACACTAGCAACTTGCTGGTTTAGGAACAGCACAGTTTGAACATCCCTTTTGTTCGTTTTTTTTTTAAATGCAAATGACTCCATGCACCAGCAAATATCCTCCTTCAGATGCTGAAAGTACTGTTATTAATCATTTTTACCTGTGAATTAGCAAAGCTTTCATCAAGCTCCTGTCTCAAAATGCAAGTACCCCTGAGAGAGATGACACATTCAGGGCCCACCACTATGTCCTCCTTCAAGGGGGGGGCGGTGACAGGAGAGCAATGTCCTGAGGGTTGGAGAGAGGGTACAGGCTGGAATTGGGGAGAGAATAAGGAAAGGAAGACAAGGACATCAGACAGACTGGACCTTCGCCACAGACTGCCCAGGGTCAGCCCCAGCCGGGACGCCCCTTTGAAGTCATCCATGCCCATCTGAATCACACATGGCTCCATCCAGTGCAAGGACAAACCCACCTTTGGGTTTGTAAGTAGGGTGACGTTTTTACTTAGCCTCCAAATCAGAACACTTTTGAGAGTAAAATGTGATGCTCTGAATAATTAAACCTGGATAATAGGTATAAACAGGGACTGTCCTCTCCCAGGAAAACCCAGAAATAGGATGCTCTCTGGGACCATTATGAGCAGGGACTGAAGCCTTACCACTTTGTTTTGTTGTTTCTGTTTTTCATGTATTTTTTTCTTCCAGTGCGTTAATCAGTGCTACTCTGAAGAGCTGGTTTTCCCAGCTGAGGAGACACAAAATGTCCCAAACCTGGAATTCATAACATCAAAGACCAGTAGCCCAGAGACTGGGAAGTTCTGATAACTTCCTGGAGAAGAGCCCAAGGAAGAGCACCCATCTGAGGCACTGAGGGACCCTTGGTTCCTAATTCTAGCACAGAGGACCCGGTGTGCTTGGAGAACGCCCCACTCCTCTGCAGACAGTGCCCGTAGTCAAGGTCAGTATGTGGGCATGGTCAGAGCACTGCCCCCTCCCCGGTCATTTCCAGACATTCCCGTTCTGTCCAACTGCACTCCCCGTAGACAGCAGCTTTAGTAGTCTCAAGGTCCCCGCAGGGCAAATCCTTCTGTGATTTGATTTTTAGCAAAGCAGAAGGATCAGTAGTACAGAAATGGAGTAGACTATCACCACCCTCCAACTTAGTGAAACACCATGTTCTACACACACACATGCACGCACGCACGCGCGCACACACACACACACACGCATGCACGCGCGCCAGGTTCTCTGTTGTCCCTGTAGAAACACAAAAAAACCTCTAAAAGGTGCAGAAGGAGCTATCAGGAACCCACTGCTCAGGGCAGAGGACAAAACACCCCGTGAGAGCAGGAGGTGGGTCACTGTCTTCACTCCCGGGTGACACTGCCAGGTTGGAGGAGGGCTGTTCTCGCTCCCCTGCAGACTCGGGCAGCGAGTAGCATTCAGCCATCGTGGTCCGGCTGTTCTGAGTCACAGGCAGCACCCCCCCCCTTCCTCCACCTCCTGGCAGTGGGAGCTGGGGTCACAAGGGCTTGTGAATCACAGCAACACCTAAGATGAAAGGGGGACAAAGTTACCATTTCAGCTTCTCCAAAGTTACTCAGAACCTCAAAGAGTTCACAAATTCACCACATCCTAAGCCACAGCCAAGGGGAATGGGCACAATTACTACCCAAATTCTGAAGGGCCCATGGACACCGGGTGCCAGCAGCTGGCTGTTTTTCGCTCTGAAAGCCAAGTCCCCACAAGATATTCAACCCACGAGCACAGTCCCTCAACACCACCGGGAAGTGGTCTCGCTCACATCATCACCCAGATTCATATTGTAATGACTCCCCTTCCAAACCCCAGCACTCAGCTTAATGACACTCATACCCTCACTGGAAACTCTGCAGCTCTCAATTTTTGTCACTTTAAGAGAAGTGATGAGTGATTTGGGTCTCCTTTTAAAAGACACTGAAACGAAAAAGGGAGTGACTTCACAGTGAGAAAAACTGAATTCCCACCCTAGCTCTGCCCCCCAGTTAAGTGCTTTGTGGCTTTGGGCAAGTCCATGTGCCGCTTTAGGCTTGGTGTCCACTTAATATCATCTGGCGGAGACCCCTCCAATGCTAAACACTATATACGTAGATAAACACTCCAGACATGTCTATATGTGTTAACTGCTTCAGCCAAGTTGAACCATACTCAACAGCTAACTTATGTGTCTGAAATCCCGAGTGTCTTAGGCTGTGGCTACGGGGCAGACACAACCGGCTGCTTCAGCCAACATCCCTTCTACTTCTGCTACAGAGACCAGCAAGTTATGAGCTCAGCCTCCCAGACTGCCCTGCAGCTGGAGGTGCCCTGTGACCCAGTCCTGGTCCAACGCAACTGTAAATCCAAGTCTGCCAGGGCTGCAACTTTGGCTTTTTCCCTTGTCCTGCCTGGGAAGAATGCTTACGAACGGCACAAGGGACAGCAGCAGCGGTTATTCATAAAGCTGGCAGAGCAGAAAAGAGAGGAGAAACCTGATTCTTCAGTGACAGTCTGAGCCACGAGGCCAGCCCTGGACTCCTTTCTACCTGGGACAAATACACTTCTTCCTTATTTAAACTAGTATCTGTTGGGCTTTCTGGAACCTGTACCTAAACCAAATTCTAACTTACAGGTAAGGCCTACAGGTAAGGTGTAACTGGGAGTCTTCCTTTAACATATCCCCACAACTATCAAATCTTCCGGTTGAAGACAAGACTGAGAGAACATGGCTGAAAGAAAGCTCAAGATTCCTCAATGGCCAGATTCTGCTAAGACATGTATTTCACGTTAATTCCTAGATAAAGGCACAGACATAAAAGCTGAGAGATGGGGAGAACCTGAGTCTTCAGACCCAGATGTGCTGCCTGACCTTGAAAACATCTTGCCTGAACCCAAGGCCTCTCTTTCACAAGGCAGCAATTAAAAAAAAAAAAAAAAAGGCAGGCTCCTGTATTGCTTTTTATATAAACTTTCCCTCTTGATTATAAAAATAAAATATTCTCATTATAGAAAATTTGGAAAACACCAAAGAACACAAACAAAATGAACTTTAATTCCTTCATATAAAGAGAATCACCATTCTCTTTTTGGAATTTTTCCTGGTTTCGAATAATAATCACAGTCATCGACTGAGTGGTTTCTAGGTGCCAGGCAGGCATTGTACTAAGAGCCTTACCACATGTCTTACCACATTTCATTTGGCTTGATACTATTTTATTCTCACTTTACAAATGAGAAAACAGAGGTTCCGTCAGATTGATTACCTTGCCCAGAATCCCACAGCTAGTGGCAAAGCTGGGACTCAAATTCAGATCTGACTCCAGCATCCACATCTGTGAGCCGTAGCTACTCAAACCCCAGAAACCAGACTGCTTGTCTGAGCTCACATGGTGCGTACATTCTGCATTATCCGTTCTTTAACCTGACAGCCTGTCACAAACACTTTTTCATGATATTGAAAACACTTCCCCTGGATAAATACCCCATAGTTTAGTTACTTTCCTTATGTCAGATATTAATTAGTTCACAGGGGTTTTTTGCTATTATAAATACACTTCAGTAAATAACTCTGTCCACAAATCTTTGCATTTCAGGCTACTTCCTTAGATTTCAAGATAAAAGAGTCACTCAGTCAATGGGTTTGAACACAAATTGCATGTCTGCTTGTCTCCTTCCCACCTACTTCTGGAGTGGGCAAACAACAAAGAAATGGATGTGAAATATTCAGCACATATAGACAATTCTAACCCCTCACGCCTATACCTTCCCTTCTCACTAAGACACACCTGGAACCAAGGGGGTCCCCCACTGGCCTCACTGCCTCATGTTAGAAAATTCCCTGTTCTTCCCACTTTAGTTTTGAGAAGAAAATGACAGTGCTGGCTTTAATAAATAACCATGAGAACAGAATCACTCTAGGACGAAAATGCCTCTAAAATCGTTTCTATGCAGCTGAGAAAAATCCTAAATGAGAAAAAAAAAGTCAAATAAATTCATTTATTGAAGCCTTGTGCTGACAGAGGTGTAATCTTCCTTTGCACTGAAATCCAAACAAGATGTAATGATGACCTTTCTGGTGGAAAATGGAATAAGAATACCACTGGAGTCATGGCGGAGATTATACAAGATAATGGTTGTAAAATACTTAGGACGATGCCTGGCACATTGTATGTGCTCAATAAATAGATGTTAGCTCTACCCATTCCAGTTTCTGGAGTACCAGACACAACGGGCTGAGCTACATCACGGATGTTTGCTTGTCTCCCTGTAGACCCTCGACCTCAGCCCCACCAACCCTGCTTCTGCCCCCCACACCCACCAAACCCATCACACACATACCTCAGGAATTAGCCTCTACATCAGACTCATTCGTCACTCCTCCCTCCAGCCTCTTGCTTAGAATGCCTTTCCCCTCAACCCTGAGCTAGGGTAGCACAGAGGGCATGGGCTTAGGACTCAGACCTGGGTTTGAATTCTGACTTTGCCAGAATTGTTCAGCTACATGGTCTTAGGCAGATTACTTAAACTCTTCAAACCTCAGTTTCATCGTCTGTAAAATGGGAAGATACAGTCTCACTCAACCAGAGGGTTGTTGAAAAGATGAAAGGGCACGTAGACACTGTACCTAACACACTGCTTGGTGGCACAGGGAGTGGGCACCTGGCAAAGGACAATGCATGACTGTGACCCTTCCTCAAAGTTAAATCAGGCTCCTCCAGGAAGTGGTCCCTGACTCTGTCGGTTCTCAAATGTCACGTCCCAAAGCCTGTATAGTACATTTCATTTAGAACTTACGTGTACATCATTTTGAATTTCCTGTTTTTGTGGGCAGGTCTTATCTTTCCAATTTAATTTCTGGAAAGCAAGAACTGTATCTTATTCCATCTCAAGGCCCGACACAAAACAAATCAGGAAGGGCAGTGAAATTCTAAAACCTCTTTCTTATGACAACTCAGATCAGTTGGAAGCGGCTCCCCGGAATAGTGTCAAGAGAATTTTGAGGCTACATTCAGAATTGCTGGGGAAACAGGTGCTAATTATGGGTACCTGTCGTGGGCACAGAACAAAGGAGTGGTGACATATGACAGCCACCTGTCCACCCCGGAGGAGGTGCTCAGTCCTAAGCTAAGCAAGCTGACTCTGCCCGGCCCCGCCCCGCCCCACCAGGGCCCCCAGGCTGGGGCAGGGGTGGGGGCAGAACACTGACCTGCGTAGCTCCGCCCTGTGCTCATGTTGGTTGGCAGCAGCGTCCACTTGTCAGTGACAGGATTGTAGTACTCCACCGAAGCCAAGTTACACGACCCATCATCCCCTCCAACCACATACAGGAGCCCGTTCACTGCACAGACCCCTGGGAATCAAACAGAAGCCCCAGGAGGCATTATGGCAGGAGCACCAAGGGATGGGGATGGACGAGAGACAGGTCTGGACTGCCCTGGAGGTGCTCTTCCTCCCCGTCGTGGTAGCACAACAGACAGGTGGCTCCTTGGGTCTGAGTTTGCTCAATGGATGAAAATACTGACAGCAGCCGCTGGGCTCCGAGGATCGCCCCTCCTAACACAGCCACATCTCTGACCAGGGAGTTTTACTACAACACAGCCCCTCAGATGTTCCCTACCCCCGCCCTCATAACTATGCAGAGAGCCGTAGGCACAGGCCCCATTCTACAGGAGTGCTACCACTGGTGCATGCGGCCTCCCGTGCCCAGGCTGAGCTATGGAATAACAACTACTCAGGGTATTTCATGCACACTACTTCTATTCTGCTTTAAGATTTTCCCTGATAAACTCCGTTTTATCCACTTGGTGTGGTACTAATAGTTGTGCCTGTGATCCCGTCACACAATTGGGGTCTAAACCCTCATCGAGTTCCCAAGGACGAGGCTTTCCACCCACCCTGATCCCAGAGTGGGCTGGCCTGGGGGCCAGGTCTCCTGCAGCAGGGACTCAAGACTAAGAAAATGTGATTATTGCTCATCAAGACTTTAAAAGGCCATAGTCCAATATACTGTGTATTTTCTCAAAATGAAATTCAAGGATTGACGACGCTCAAAAAACAGTAATTATCAGTGTTGGTGAACATACCAGTGAGAGTATAAAATGCACTGCCTTCCTGGATGGCATCAAAAGCACACATACTCCCTCTGACTCAAAAAATTTCACTTCTGACCTTCTATTCCAAAGGAATAATTGTAAGCATATGCATTAATTAGCTCTAAGGACTCTTTATAATAACCAAAGTATTACTTATAGAAAAGATGGAAATAACCTAAATGTCCAATAATAGATAGGTTATTTAAATTATGGTTAGCCATTTAAAATGGAATTATGAAAAGATATTTAGCATTCTAATAAGATATTCATGAAAGATCATAAAATGGATTAAAAAGGCAGGTTATAAAATAATATGACAATGTGATTCCATTTTTGCTATAAAAATATAAATATCTATATTGAGCGTGTGTATATACACACATTTATATCTAAACCTAATTCTCACACTAGCTGCCTTGAAGATTCTGTAATTCCTCGCTCATGTGGCTCAAGGCTAAATGCCAAGCTCTATCACGGCAGGCTGAGACAGTGAGCAAATTAATAAACTCCCCTCTGTTTACACTTTCAACAAGTCACCTGCAAATGGGTTAAGCAAACAGGTAATTTGTGTATAAAGGAAATAAATCGGCCAGAAAGTCACCTGCTTGTCTTTCCAGCCTGGGAAACTGGGCTAAGCCAACACTTTGATGGAGTAAGAAGGCGAAAAGCAAGATATACCCACATAGGACACGACCTATAGGGCAAAGTTCTAAAAGGAAATCGTTTCATAAGAGTGTCAGGCTCCAGAAATAAAAGCCTAAACACTGTAAGAAAATTCATTCCTAAAGGGAGGAAAAGGGGAAGGGAAGACAAGACAAGAAATACAAAGAAGGGAATAAGGGAAGTGGTCCTACTGGAGAAGGGATCACAAACACTTTTGTGGCTAACCCCAAAAGGAAGGAGATTGGTTTCAGGTGGGAAGTGGGAGGCTCTCACAGCCAGGCACCAGCACAGAAAAGACAGACCCAAGCGTCATTGTCTGGCCCTGTCCACACAGCGCTATGCTTAGCTCCCCAACAGAGCCACTGGGCTGGGGCACTGACGACAACCAGAGGACCCTTCTGGATCTGTGTCCATCTACGTGCAGTGAAAGCCATCATCCTTCACAGGGACAGAAGGAACCTTCTGCATCTAAGTGGGGACTCTGTGGTTAGCTTTGGGGGTCCCAAGCTCTCCCCTCCCCAGCAAATGGACATTCCCTGCCCAGGGCACAAGCTCAGCCCCAGTCCCTGGGAGTCTCTCCACTCTGCCTCTGCTTCAGAGCTAGTGTTCGCAGGGAGAAAACACCCACCCACACCCACACCCCCGTGCCCCAGGGAGAGACGGAGGGGGCAGTCATATTACCTGCATTGCGCCGACACATGTTCATGTCTGCTACCTGCTTCCAGGTGTTTGTTCCAGGATCGTAAACCTCAACACTCTTCCTCACCAAGGGCCCGTCATGCCCGCCTGTGGCATACAGCTGTCCACTGAGGACCCCAACCCCTGAAAGGCAGAGCACAGAAACCAGGAGGCCTGGCGTCCAGTCCTGGACAGTATCACCAGCAGGGCATGCTGTTTTGTCTCCCTGGGACTCAGTGTCCTTATCTATAAGAAGATTATGACACCCTGCCTGCCTCAAAAAATCGTCAACCTGAAAACCTCAAAATTCTATTTAAAGACATGAGATCATTATTTCCGAGACCTCCCTGCTGGTCTTGAAGCAGATGCTGTGCTTTCTGCCCCTGCTCTCCTGATAGACAGGAGAGGGCGGGGCACTACATCACTCACAATGTGGATAAGCCTGGCTGAGTGCTGGGACTGCGTCACTTCCAGGTTTCAGCATAACCTTTTAACATCCTTTAACACAAGTTAAGGAAATAAAATCTGGGAAGCAGGAGGGCAGCACAGTGCCCTAGAAAGAGCTGCTGACCTAGTGGCCAGGACCACCTGGGTTGTAGCCGAGTGTCTCTAACTTGCTGGCCAGGTGATCCTTTCCTTTCTGGGCCTTTGTTTTCCCATTTGTAAAGCGAGGGAGCTGGACTCTATCGGTGGTTCCAGTGGCCCATGGACCACTCCACTGCATGCCCAGGCTGCAGCTCAATCAGCTGGCGAGTTTTTGAAAAGGTAGATTTCTGAGCCTCACTCTCAGAGACGCTTGTTGGGGATCAGAAAACACCACAGGTGATTGAGATGTCCAGCCAGGTTTCAGACCCAAGGACTCAATTTCTGGAATATAAACTTCATATGAACAAGGACTGTGTTCGTCTTATGTCTAGGTCCCTATCCCTATGCATAATGGTGCATTCTTGACAAACACTGAATGACACAATATGTAAAATTACATCCAGCAATTATGTGGATGTGCCACTGGTTCCTTGCAGTTTCCCTAAACTAACAGCAGATGGTGGTGTCGCATCAATAGTGGCTATAAAATGGCCTTGGCTTAAATAAAATACAGTGCGTTCCAAAGCTGCCTCACCTTCCCTGCCTCCTGGTGCAGCAGGGATTGCACTGGCTGGGACCAGAGACGGCCACCTGCCGGCACGGCCCACATCCTGCCAAGGAAGCAAACAGCCTTCTTGGCACTTAGAGGCACCAATGCCCTTCTATAGCCTCCTCCCTCAACGTTACTCAGGTTTCCTTGATCTCAAGCCACAGGGGGCCTTGAGCCACCACACCTATCACAAGTATGTGGGTTCCAAACTCTGGAGGGGAGGTCTCCCCAAATCCGAGGCATGTGAAGCCCTGAAGAAAGGCTGCCCTGGGAGCCTGAAGCCAGAGCACTGACAGTAACCTAAGGAAAGAGCCCACCTCTGGGACAGAGACTGTCCTCTAAATCAAGGTCACCACATCTGCCTTGGGCACAGGTACTATTCAGGCCATACCCTTGTCACCTTCTGGGGCTTTTAGCCCAGGGGAGAGGCAGGAGCGGCCTGAGGGATCTCCACCCAGGAGCAACCCCTGGGCAGCCTGGCTGAGACACAGCAGCATGGCCTCCAAAGGCAGCTCTGTCCACAAGAAGCACTTGAGCTTTTCTAAGGCGGGTCTGTGCTCACGGCTTCCCCCTAACACCTTCTGCTCCAGGCGCTTCTAGACGCTGCTGCGTATCTCAGTGTGTGCTGCTCCGCTCCTGCTGAGCTGTCCCTGCCTCCCTGGGCTTTGAACACTTGCTCTCACACCTCAAGTCACACCGAGGATTTCCAGGAAGTACAAAGAAGACTCAACCAATACTATCAACCAAAATTCCTAAAAGAGCTCCATGCAGGGAGGAGACTCAGGGCCTCTGTGAATTGAACTGGCCCCTAGGGAACACTGACTGCAACCCACTCATCTCACAAGTGAGGAATCAGGCCTAGGCCACACAGCACATTTCACCAGAGCCAGAACTAAGGTCCAGCCCTCCTGACTTCCATGCATTTGCCGCACGTTGAAGAGCCAACCTGTCAGGATCAGCAGAGACAAGCTCCCTAAAAATAGCCTTCCAAACACAAATGTTTCTTAAATGGAATCATAACAGTTTTTGCACTTCTAACCAGTGAGTGCACAGTGGTTCTTAAAAAAATATATTAAAACAGCATGATTTTTAAGGAATGTTGTGGAAATGATCATGTGTTTGGTAGTGTAAAATGAGATCACAACTCAATCTTCAAAAAAGATAAAGGAATAACATTGCAGGGGGGAAACTCGCAGTTGTGGTTTCCCTTCCCAGAAGTCACACTGCCTTCCCGCCAGCTAGGTTGGTCATACGGCACCACTCCCACGGGGACTGGAAACGGAGAGCCAGAGCCCCGCGTCCATTAGCTCTGCCCGCCCTCCCAGACCCCTTCCCTGGGGCCCCCAGATGATGGGGGAAGACAAGCAGGGAAGAAGGGGCTGCTGCTCCACTTCCTGGAAAGTCCCAAGGACCACACAGCTGCCGGTCTTCTCACAGGACATGGAGGTGGGCCAGAAGTAGGGAGTCACTCTCTTCCCATGTGGGGGAGGGGGCCAAAGTGAAGAAAAGTTGTGGGGAGGACCTAAGTTTGTCTCCAAATATGAACACTAATAGCTTGGCTTTCCACTCCCAAGACAGGGACAAGCAAGCTGTAGCTTCTCCACAGAAGACTAGGACAGCCGCGCTTGTCCTGTTACTTCCTAAGAATGAGACTCTGATCACTGGGGGTCAGAAAAGCTAATGTTGAAGTGAGGCAGACTGAGTGGGACGCATGACTCTGCCAGTTACTAATGATAGGACCTCGAGCTAATTGCGCAACCCCTGGTTGACTTCCTGGCTAAATCTGTTAGGTGGAATTACGTTGTCACGTACGTTACCTCTGTGGGCAGTGGTGAGGATTAAATAAAGTGGGGCACAGAAAGGGCTCATTGGGACAGCACCTGGTATACAGCAAGCTTCCCTTTCAAGAGATGCAGACACCGCCACAGAAATGGAAGGGATGCCAACGAAGGGACTATTATCTCATATGCTCTGCAGCAAAGAGATCACTTCGGTTAACTTATAAGTGATTGTGTTGGCTGCAAAGGTGTGAGACGGATTATACACACTGAAAGGGGAGAAGACTGAGGGAAAACAAGGTAGGACGTCAAGCTCTTGGTCTCCAGACTGACCTGTGAGCAGATGAGACACAGCTTGCACCCTGAGTCCCCTCTCCCGTACCTGCACCACTGCGGCGAGTGCTCATGTCTGCCACGTACGCCCACTCGTTAGTCGCCGGGTTGTACTGCTCCACAGTGCTCAGACACTGGCGGGAAGCCCCGTCGTAACCCCCGACGGCATACAGCTTCCCTGGAACAGACAAAGTGGTTGGGATGGTGCTTTGGACTCGCGTGGGGCTGGAGTGTGGCTGAAACTTCTTCTGTAACCTACTGGGGCACCTACACCTCCATCAGAGTTTAGGGCCCATTCCTTTCAGGAAGACCACCCACTCACTCCCCGACCAGGATAAACATCCTTCATTCCTCTGCCTTCTACTTCCTCTGAAGTGCTGAGCTCCTCAAAGCAGTACTGAACCTCTTTCTCAAAAAGCACCCCAAACACCCAGCATGAAGCTATGAGCTTGCATCACTGGGGCTCAACATATTCTCACCATTAAACTACATTAGATCTTCTCTAGAACAAGGCACTGGAGAGATGGAAAATTTAGGGCCCCAGTTACAGCCGGGCAGGCAGACTTTCTGGCTAAAGGCTCACAACAGGAGACAACAAATAAGGAAAAATATTCCCCAACAAGAACCCAAACACTGTCTTCACCAATGTTTATAGTCCATCTACAACTCCGGTAGGTGGAGCATGTGGATGGAGTGGTCTGTGTGTACCCTGGGCTGGGCTGGCTTGAATTTATCTGCAGACCCCCTTGCAATCTCTGAACTGTGCACAAGAGCCCTGAAGCATGATAATTGGTTTTGAGAATAAAAATACCATAAAAGCTGTTTTCTAAGAGCATTATTTTGACCTGGGGATGGCAGTGAGGCTGGGCCAGGGGGCAGGAATTGGTACTTGAGGCTCCCAGAGAGATTCAAATATCTGGGTTTGACATGTAGTCTTAGAATGCAGTGGGAGGGTCTCTCATGTGTGGTGTGTGTGTGTGTGTGTGTGTGTTGAAGAGGGGAGAGAACTACTTCACTTGGGGCCTCAGATCTATGAAGGACACTGGAGTTATAATAAGGATCTTAAACACTACCTATAGACTAATTAAACACTACCAAATGCAAATCTACCTAACAGGGTTACTTAATCAAAAGACTTTTTTGTCAATATGAGCTTTCTTAACGGAGAGATACCAAGAGCACAAATAGTATGTGAAAATCTGCGATTATTTTAAGGTAGAAAGAGAATCTCCAGGTCAAAACTATGCTCTCCCATCAAGACTTTTGCCATATCAAATGTACGATTATTTCCATCACTGAGTCTGGTTTGTTTTCTGCCCCACAGTCCTCTCAACTGGCCCTTCTAGAAGAAAGGGACACCTCCTCCTGGTTCTACTCCAACCTAAGTGAGAAAGGAAAATCCTGACTCAGAGCCCCTCCAGGATCCAGGCTACCTTGGTGCTGTGTGCCGGTTTGGATGCAAAAACCTGCCCAGCCAGCTGCCCATCACTCGTCAGACCCTAGGGCACTGGGGAGGAGCTAGGCCTGGGGTGCCAAAAAGACAAGAAGCTCCTGAGCGTAACCTCAGTCTCTGTAACTCGAGATCTCCACTCTGTCGGGAGTTCCTGCCTAATCTTCCAGCCTCACTGCCCCTTTTCCTAAGCAGAGATTCTTCTAGGCAGCTGGTAGCAGATGATCCTGATTTCCCCCGCTTTGCTCCCCAGTGTCATCTAGCTGCATAACCATGGGAATGAGAGGGAGGTGGGTCCTGTGGAGACAGTGTGGAGAGCTGTATTTGCAAGGCCACAGGGAAGCAGAGTCCACGTAAGAGCCTCCCTTGACATTCTCAGCAAAGCTGCCCACTGGACTCTCTGCTGCCCCAGGGTGACCCAGAGCCAAAAGAACTTTAAATTCAAGATGAACAAGATAAATATATCCACATAATGTCCTCTGTGTCGACAGGGTATGGCCACTAGACAGCACTTTCACACACACAGAACGTGCTCACAGAAGCCTCTGTCAAAGGGAATATATCAAACTAGTACCATGAAGGTACTGCCTGTAACCCCATCAACCATTCCACCTCTGCGTCAGCTGAAAAAATACCCACTCAAGGTTTCTCCTTGAGTCTATTAACAGGCATATGCTATTTTTAACCCCTACTCTATTGTGTGATATTCCTGGCTAAGGAACAAGGGGGAAATGGGAAGGTGGCTAGACAAAGCACTTACATTTGGCAGACAAATCAATTTCTGTTCCACCAGGAGGATGAGATTGCAAGAAACAATTTATCTTGGTAGAAGGAAAAATCCTTGCACTCACTAAAATGACTTGTTCAGTATGTTAGGATAATATGCTTTTAAATTAAAATTTAACTTACACAATACTGCTCTGGACTGAGAAATGCAGCCAGAGAAAAGAATCTTTCTATTAATGTCTAACTCAATGCATGTTACACTCTCCCTGTGGCCCGTGTGTGTGCTCTTGTGCGTGCACAGGAGAGACAGAGAATGCCTGTGCATGTGTGAACGCGCAGATATTCCAGCTAAATTCCCACTTCAAGACAGGCTAACGAGTCAGTGTTGTCCTCCAAGGTTTAATATTTTAGTGCAAATAGTACTTTGTGCTTTAATAGGTTGAATTCACACATATTCATAAAGCTCCTCTCTGTTAGCATCGGCTAGTGGTCTGAGTTAGGAGTGAAGTGCTATTTACTAGTGTGGGATGTATCAATGATCCCAAGGCACTCAGCTTCCCCTTCTGGAGAATGGAGAAAATCGAAGTCCTGCTTATCTCCTTCAGAAGGGTTTTAGGAACAAAATCAGAAACTGGATATGAAAGCCATTTACAAACTACAGTGCACTGTCTAACCAGGCCCCAGATCTCACCACTCCCTCCTGCCTCACCCCATACAGCTTTCCTGACTAGAGCAGGACTCTACCACAACCTGCCCTTCCTGCAGTGACTCATCAGACCTGGGAAAAGGTGCCACCTCACTTAGGGCTCTGTTAATAGTACTGAACACATGAACATGAGGACAAAATTAAACAATCAAGTCTCACCCCCTCCAGGTATGCTCCTGGGTTATATACTGACTCTGGATTCCCCAACTCGGGACAGAGACAAGTGGCCCAAGAGACAGGCCAGCATTTCCCTTCTAGGCTCCTCCTACTCCCCCAATCCAGCTCATCCACTTTCTAGCCCTGGATCAGTAGCTTTATCTCTCAACTTTCCTCATCTCTAAATCAGGATACTAGTCCCTGACTCAGCAGTGACAGGAGGAACAGAGCCAGGACACCAGAAGGTCCAGGACCGGGGCAGGAACGGGCCTCCACCCCTGCTGCTCCTCACCCTCCACGACGCCCACACCCACACTGCTGCGCCGCGTGTTCATTGGGGCCACGAAGAACCACTCGTTGGTCTTGTAGCTGTAGGCTTCCACCGACGCCAGGCCTGGGAGACAAGAGAGCCATGAGATGGCTATGGTGCCGGCCCTCACCCTGCTGTGCTAACTGACAGTGAAGATGAGGGAAGAGCACAGACCTGGGGGCTGGAAACCTGGGTGCAGGACCTAGCACTACCTCTGCCTCACTGTGGGGCCCATGGCACCTCCCTGAAACACATCTGCACTGCGTCTGCCTGAGGGGACCACTAGAACTGACCCAGAGGGTGGGTTGTGAGAGGACGGGGTATAACGTCGATTGTTAAACCTACAGAGTAGAATAAACACCTGAGGTTGCCTCACTGAACACCTATTCCAACCCTCTTTTCCCCGTCTTCTTCTAGAGTCTGGTCAGCTAAAAACCTGCCTTCCCAGACTCCCTTGAAGCTGAGGGTGACCAAGTCAATGCAACCTAAGCAGAACTCTGGTGGGGACTTTTGAAATAGCCTTTGCTTTTCTGATACAGGTGTCACCCCTTCCTGCTTCTTGCTACCTGGAACACAAATGTATTGGCTGGAGCTATAACAGCCACCCTATGATCATGAGGATAAGGCCAAGAGACTCTTAAAGAATTTGGCCTCCATATCCTTAAGCAACTGGACCAAGTCAGCTTGGACTTCTTGTTTCATGAGTAAAACAAAATCTCTCATTTGTTTAAGCCACTGTTTAGTCAGGTTTTCTACTAGCAGCCAAAAGCAATGCCTGAAAGAAACAATGCCCCACTACCCTTGGGTCTCTTCATTCTCAAGTTCCACTCTAGAGGGGCCTAGGGACCCTGGAATTATATGAGTGAGGCAAAGAGAAGGCTGACAAAGGTTATCGATTGGTGAAGACCCAATTTTTTTTTCAGAGAAGTAAAACATATATATATTTTTTAATTGAAGTGTAGTTGGTTTTCAATGTTGTGTTAATTTCTGGTGTACAGTATATTGTTTTTCATGTCACTGGGAGCCAAAGGATATTTCAGTTTTATAGAGTTACTATCTACACAGACATCCACTTGGAAATATAAGGAGAAAGAAGATAATCTCTCCAAGTCCATGTCCAGTAGTAGCTTCTGACTCTTAACTTTGAAGCTAGATGAAAGCCAAGAGTAAGGGGGCACTTCTGCAGCAGCACAGCCTTGCAAAGCTTTAGAGGGGCAGCAGAAAGGGCAACAGACAGAGACTGCATGACCTGAGCCAGGTCTCTTCCCACGGCTGAACCTCGGCTCCCTCATCTGTTCAGGGGAGGGTCCAGAACACAGCCGTGAGACACCCTCTAGCTGAACTTGCTCTATGTCTCATCTCCTGAGTAAATGGTTTCCTGGGCACTGGAAGAGAGAAAAGGGCCTCTTCTTAGTGTGGGGTCCTTCCTAGAGCCCTAGAAATGACAGCACGTGGGCAGCTACAAATTCTGTGTGGAAGAAGGTCTGGCTCTGACACACAAGCTGGGAGAGGAGGAAGGATGGGTATTTTCTTGGGGCAGTAGCTACAGATGTACAGAAGGTTGGCCCAAGAACTGGCTGAGCAAACCAGGATGTGTCCCAGGCTGGGACGGGTTGGGACGGAGTCCAGGACCTACCAGTACTGCCATCAAAGCCCCCCACGGCGTAGAGCAGGTCGTTGAGCACAGCCGCACCCAGCGTACTGCGGCGCTCCTGCATGCTGGCGATGGACGTCCACTGGTCCTTCACCCCATCATACACGTCCACTGTCCGCACACGCAGGGAGCCATTAAACCCGCCCACGGCGTACACATGGCCAGCCATGAACACCACACCTGAGGCACAGGAAACCAAGGTCATCTCAGACCCATGACTCATGTTGATGAGTGACAATAGGGGAACAAGGTGAGAACGTAAATAATTCACCACAGAAGGTGACCTTCAACTTTAGATATTTGTAAGTTGTTATGGGACTCATTGGATTTCTCTTGACATTTGCTTTTCTAATTTTGTTTGATTCAAGTAAATACCTGGATTAGCTTGAAGTCCCTAAGCACCTAAGAACTGACCCCAGAAGGTGCAGCTAGAAACTCTGTAGCTGGGGAAGGAGAAGGAAGGGAGTCCAGAATGCAGAGGTTGGTGGAAACAAGGAGTAGTGAGTGATTTCAGGACCGAGCAAAGAAAAGCCGGGGCAAGGCAGCCTGCACACCAGGAGATGGTGCAGCTCACCTGCTCTGCATCTCCTGGAGGGAAGCTCAGCGATCTGGTCCCACCGGTCCTCCTCGAAGTCATAGCACTCCACGCTGCGGATCGCCTTGGGTGCCTGGCCACCAACCACGATCATGACCTCCAGAAAGATAAGTGGACATTAGGTGGGTCTCCCCAACATCCAGATTCACAGATCACCAATCCCTGTTACCTCCACATGCTCACTGTCCAGGGTCTGGAGGTGATGTGACATGCCAGTTTACAGAGCTACATACATGAAGATGGTGCCCCTAATCACCAACAGGGCTGAATATTCAAGAAAAGTCTAACAAGCATCTTCCCACAGACATGCAACCAAACACTTCCCAAGTGTCCTTGCTCAGGGCTATGCTGTGGGGTATGTACAGCCACTCAGGGCATCTTCTGAAATCTGAGTATCCCCAAGGCTTTGGGGTGGGAGACTAAATTTTGTATCAAAACAAAATGTTCATATATATACATATATATCAACATTTGAATATATTTTGGAATAGAGTACACAATTTGGATGCATTTTCAAGATAAAATTAATTCAAAAATATTATGTATAGACTGTAGGGGGAACTTATTCATTGCAGTATGGGAAAACAAATTGTGAAACACTACTTTGTGGTGGCTAGCAGGAAAATGTATGTAACTGAAAAAATTAGTGCTAATAGTACTATTTCCACAAGTAAGGTAGTAGCTACCACCGCCAGTTACTGTGTGAAGTATGTTGTCATTTGTTCATCCACATTGACAGATCAGGAAAGTAAAGCTCAGAGTACATGGGTAAATTGTCCAAGGTCACAAAGCTAAGAGCAGCAGAACAGGGAATGAAACCCAAGTCCACCTCGGACACAGAGGTGAAGCCAGCCCTACCACTCTCCTGCTCTAGAGATAGATTCTATTCCAAGAGAGCTCACTACATCACGTTTTTCAAACTGCAGGTCACATTTCGTTTGTGAGTCACAAGATCAATTTAATGGGTTAGGACCAGTATACTTTTAACAGAACAGTACAGAAATATAACAAGGGTGTTACTTCATGAAATATTTTTTCCAATTATACATACATGTATGTCTCCTAGAAAGCAATTTAAACATATTTCTTAGTGTAGGGGGAAGGAAAGAAAGAAGGAAGGAAAAGAGAGAAAGAGAGAAAAGAAGGAAGAAAGAAAGAAAGGAGAGAGAGAGAGAGAGAGAGAGAGAAAGAAAGAAAGAAAGAAAGAAAGAAAGAAAGAAAGAAAGAAAGAAAGAAAAGAAAAGAAAAGAAAAGGAAAGAAAAAAGAAAAGAAAAGAAAAGAGAGAAAGAAAGAAAGGAAGGAAGGGAAAGAAAGAGAGAGAGAAAGAAACAGAACATCCCAAAGGAACCCAAGGCACATTGCCAAGGCTTAAAGCTGCTGTTGCCTCCAGATATAAATGTTCTGTGTTTGACTTTCCTCCGCTCAGAAGGTCCACTGCTTCATATAAACAGCAGCCCTTTTCAAAGAGATGCTGAATTCTACATTTCTTCCCATCAGTAATTCTTTGCTTGGATAGGCATCCATGAAGAGTTCAAGAGGGATGTTAACAAACACAGCCTCTTGGCAAATTTCAGACAATGCCCAACTTACTTCTCCATGGCCAAATGACTTGCCCTGCATTCCAAAACATATCTAGAACTTGCACTATCCTTCTGGTTTTGAGTTGATGAAGTTAAATGAAATTAAACTATTGCAAGGATTTTCTCTGAAATCTGATTTTGGGACTAAGTGAGAAAAAAAAACAGTTTTTAGTTTTCTTTCTGCAGTGACCTCAGGCACCCAACACCCTCACACATGCTGTTCCCTCTCCTTGAAACACACTTCCCTCTCTCTGATCCCCCTGCTCTAACACTTGCTTATCTTTCAGGTCTCAGTCTACACATCACTTCCTCCAAGAGGACCTCTGACCTCTGACCTCTGAACCAAGTTACATGTCCTCCTCTGAGGTCACAAATGCTTAGGTTCTCCCATGAAAAGTGCCCCATTTTGTGCTCTGTCTGGTAACCTGGTTTTCCCTTCTAGATAGTGAGCCCTGCCAGGGCAAAAAAATATGTCTGCCTCGATCATAAGATAACCCTACCGCCTTATGGTACCAGATGAAAGTGATGACTCAAATATTTATCTGGAATAAAGAATAAATGAATAGTAAATACCACATGCAAAGAGTTAAATGCAAAAATACACAGTTAAATGAAAAAAAATACATAGGCCAGAATGTCACTTTCTTGGAATAAGACATGTTGGACACCAGATTACAATTCTGGAGACAGAATTTGAGGAAAACAAACAAAAAGAGAAAGAGAGAGCCTTTCCCATCTTTTGACTCAACCACCAGGAGACTCTTCATTCTTTGCACAAGTTATCAGGCTCCTTCTGTAAATAAAAAAGGCAAAGCTTCAGGGGACTTAATCATGTCCCAGGAACTGTCTTCTGCTAGTGTACGGAAGTACATTCATATAGGAGAAAATCCTGCACTCATCTCTGAGAATTTTCATAGTAACACAGAAACAATATTACAGAAATGGAAAATTTTTAATGGTCAAGTAAAACCTGAATAGAAAGACAAATATAATACATGACAAGGTTTTCAAAATAAACTTGCCTTTGAGCTCATAAAACCACAGGTAAGAGACAACTTTTAAAACTCCAAACTTGTAGAATGATCTGCGAAGAGCAACTATGAGGCTTCATGGGGCAAGACCACTGGTTTCTGAAAATGCCCTCAAGGCAGAGGGAGGAGTAGGTGTACTTTATGCTTCTTTTCTAGGCATAAGAAATCCAATTTCTATGGCAGGTCTTGCAAGAAGCCATCATACAAGGAATACTCATCACTGTCTAATCGTGGAGCTTAAAAAGAATACATTTCCTATCTTGAACACTAGTGGATGGTTGTTTCCATAGATACCTGATCTCAGCAACCAATTAGACAAAAACGAGTATTCCCCAAAGTCTCCATGTATTACGTCCCTGAAAGTATAAACCTCTAGCTACTTAAGAAAACCAGACTGTCAAGGCAGGAAGAGACTTGAATTATTCTTTCTTACAAGCCCACATTTTACATTTCTAGAAAAACTCAGGCCCAAAGAGTTCACAAGGCATATTTCTTTCTTTCCTGACACCCCTAAATCCCAGTTTACTACAGATATGTAATGTCTTTAATAGAAATTACTGAATCAAATCAGCTTATTTAATGATCACTATTTTTAACATTTATCCCTCAAGGTAACCTTGAGTAAGAACCCTGAGTAGTCATACAGGAATTACAAAAAACCTAAAGGACTGGTTCCAGGCTAATAATTACGCTAGAGCAAATGTAACTTAATCACATTCAAGAAGAGCAGTGTACTTGGGAGCCCTGCAGTCTTGCAGGGCACCTCAGTGTCCTGGCCCCACGTCTCAGTGCTCACTGTGTGGAAGGCTGCAGGCGTCCTGGTGAGTGGAGAGTTCTGGGTGACAGAACCCTGGTGTTCCAGACAGGACGGTGTGGGGCACAGCTACCGGACAACTCCCAAGGAAAACATTCTCAGTTTGGAAAGTCAAATGGTCATTTACTCTAGAGACATGAGTGAGACTATGGAAAGACTACCGGATTGCTTAGGAAGGAAATTTCACTTCTAGCGTAACAAAATGGTTTTGAAATAAGTATGTAGGGGGAGGGCATAGCTCAGTGGTGGAGTGCATGATTAGCATGCATGAGGTCCGGGTTCAATGTGAGGTCCTGAGTTTAATCCCCAGTACCTCCGTTAAAAAAATAAGTTAAATAAATACATAAACCTAATTAACCCTCCCCCAAATTTCTTTAAGATGTATAAATAAGGCTATTTCTTTCACTTGGATGACTCTCATTCCACCAGTGTGACTGTGGGAGTGAAGGCACGCTGGTCCCTCCTCGTGCAATAACCACCACTCTATGTCTGAGAGCCATCAGGTAGCAGAGACTAGCCAAGGAAAGGGCAGCAAGTGAACAGAGTGGAGCTTTCCAGCCCACTTGTGGATCAGAACCCTAACCCTAACTCACAAGTCATTAGACTCTCCACTCGGGTGAGAGGAATGACCGGGGCTTTGCACGCTTTGTGCATCAGGCAAGAGTAGAGTGTGTCCAGACTCTCTTCCATGACCGGTGAGCTGGGCAGGAGGCAGGCCCAGCCAGTCGGTCCCTCGGGCCAGGGCAGGAAGCAAGAGTCTCTCTTACCCTGGTGCGTGGGGCCGCAGGGCTAACACCAAGAGTTCATCCGAAGGAGCATGTTGAGGTCGAGGCAGAAGACTTGTCCCAGCAGGTTCCTGAGCAACAGGTGCTCCAGGCAAGGACTGACAGCCCAGGTGAGAGACAACGGGCATTGGAGGACCAGCAATGTGAGAGCAAGACCCAGGGGAGAGAGAAGGAGCAGGAAATAGACTTTGGAGTCAGACACACCTGGGCTCAAGTATCAGCCCAGTCAGCTGCATGAGCTGTGTGAACATGGGCAAGGCACTTAACCTTGCTAAGCTCACTTCCACTACCTAAAACATCAGGAAAATAGGATGTTTCTCCCATGGGCATCAGGAGGCTTAAATGATATAAAACATTCAGCACAGTGCTTGGTAAATAGCACCCACTAAATGTCAGCTTTTATTATTAGATCAACACCAGCATCATTACTACTGTTTAAATCAGTTGCTAAAAAACAGATTCCCAACAAATGGTAGAAAAGGACACTTATGATCTGTGAATGGCAGAGTGAGCACCACTAATTCCAGGCATGATGATGGGGCTTTCTCAGGACTCCAGGGTGTTTTCCAGGGTGTGGCCTGGGTCCACTTAAAGGACCAAGATGGGAGAGGAGCACTGCCCATCCATGGGCCTGGCCCACGTGAGAAATCATCCTACCCACCCTGCCAACGGCCTTGTTTTCAACACTGTCTTTTGAAAGCAGGACAGCCCAACTCAGGAGGAAGCCACCCACTTCCAGCTCAAGTAACTTTTTGGTGTCATCTTTAAAGATTCGAATAGAGATGTCAACTGAACTGAAATGACAGTAAAAAGTGCCAGGTTCAGTACATCTCAAAAAGGCTTCATGTGCATCTTTCTGTAACCTCGTTTCTCTGCTGCCATCTGC